ACTCAGTTACTACTGTTACTACTCAGTTACTACTGTTACTACTCAGTTACTACTGTTACTACTCAATTGCTACTGTTACTACTCAGTTACTACTGTTACTACTCAGTTACTACTGTTACTACTCAGTTAATCCCATTTGTTACTACTCAGTTACTACTGTTACTCCCTCAGTTACTACTGTTACTTCTACTAGTAACTACTGTTACTACTCAGTTACTACTGTTACTACTCAGTTACTACTGTTACTACTCAGTAAACTACTGTTACTACTCAGTTGCTACTGTTACTACTCATTTAAACTACTGTTACTACTCAAGTTACTACTGTTACTACTCAGTAACTACTGTTACTACTCAGTTGCTACTGTTACTACTCAGTAACTACTGTTACTACTCAGTTACTACTGTTACTACTCAGTTACTACTGTTACTACTCAGTTACTACTGTTACTACTCAGTTGCTACTGCTACTACTCAGTTACTACTGTTACTACTCGGTTACTACTGTTACTACTCAGTTACTACTGTTACTACTGTTACTACTCAGTTACTACTGTTACTACTGTTACTACTCAGTTACTACTGTTACTACTCAGTTGCTACTGTTACTACTCAGTTACTACTGTTACTACTCAGTTACTACTGTTACTACTCAGTTACTACTCAGTTACTACTGTTACTACTCAGTTGCTACTGTTACTACTCAGTTACTACTGTTACTACTCAGTTACTACTGTTACTACTCAGTTACTACTGTTACTACTCAGTTACTACTGTTACTACTCAGTTTACTGTTTACTACTCAGTTACTACTGTTACTACTCAGTTACTAGCTGTTACTACTCAGTTACTCTGTTACTACTCAGTTACTACTGTTACTACTCAGTTACTGCTGTTACTACTCAGTTACTGCTGTTACTACTCAGTTGCTACTGTTACTACTCAGTTACTACTGTTACTACTCAGTTACTACTGTTACTTCATTACAGTTACTATGTTACTACTGTTACTACTCAGTTACTACTGTTACTACTCAGTTACTACTGTTACTACTCAGTTACTACTGTTACTACTCAGTTCTGCTGTTACTACTCAGTTACTCTGTTACTACTCAGTTGCTACTGTTACTACTCAGTTACTACTCAGTTACTACTGTTACTACTCAGTTACTACTGTTACTACTCAGTTACTACTGTTACTACTCAGTTACTGCTGTTACTACTCAGTTACTACTGTTACTACTCAGTTACTACTGTTACTACTCAGTTACTACTCAGTTACTACTGTTACTACTCAGTTACTACTGTTACTACTCAGTTACTACTGTTACTACTCTAGTTTACTACTGGTTACTACTCAGTTACTGCTGTTACTACTCAGTTACTACTGTTACTACTCAGTTACTACTGTTACTACTCAGTTACTACTGTTACTACTCAGTTACTACTGTTACTACTCAGTTACTACTGTTACTACTCAGTTACTGCTGTTACTACTCAGTTACTACTGTTACTACTCAGTTACTACTGTTACTACTCAGTTACTACTGTTACTACTCAGTTACTACTGTTACTACTCAGTTACTACTGTTACTACTCAGTTACTGCTGTTACTGCTCAGTTACTACTGTTACTACTCAGTTACTACTGTTACTACAACAAATATTAGTCACTCATAAGTCATTACTGCTACTAGTATTAATATTACCGCTATTAATACTAGTACAACTATTAATACTACTACCACTACTACTACTACCATTAATGCTACTACTTCTACTACTATTAGTACTGATACTGCTGTTACAACTGCTACCACTATACTACTATTGCTGTTACTACTACTTTACGATTATTACTACTTCTGTTGTCACTAGCATTACTACTACTACTACTACTACCACTAACACTACAACTACCACTACTACTACCGCAACTACTACTACCACTACTACTGCAACTACAACCACTACTACCACCACCACCACTACTACTACCACCACTACCACTACTACTATTACTACCACTACAATACGACCATTTCTAGCGTACCCTCAATATTACATTATTTAATACAGTAATATTTGCCACACCATCAGATCATTCCCAAGTTCTATTTGTGCCACAAAAGTTTTTAGCGTCCTTCATAACCAGCCAGGCCTTTTAAAAGACAATATAAATATACTCTGGCTTCCGGGGTTACCATTGTCACTGTGTAGCTGCTATTGTAAAGACTTGAATTACAATGTCATTGTTAGTCATTATGAATGGTCTAGTTATTTTTTTTTTTTTTCGTCAGGTGAATTGTGTATAGAATTGTTGCTTTATATAGCAGATGCTGGGTTATTGTGTGATGTGTTATAGAAGATATTTTGGTGTGTGTGTGTGTGTGTGTGTGTGTGTGTGTGTGTGTGGGTGTGTGTGTGTGTGTGTGTGTGTGTGTGTGTGTAATTTTTTTATTCAACTGTGTCCCACAGCCACAGGATGCCACGCAGAAGAGTCTAATAGGCACCCGGGTACCTAATTACTTCTAGGTGAATAGGGGCAACAGATGTTGGGTGATTTCCTCGTTTGTCTCGTTCTGCCCTGGAATCGAACCTGGGTCCTCTCGGTATGAGTCGACAACTCAAGTCACTGGTGTTGATAAAGTTGTATTTGTGAATGTCAGTTATCAGAGTCTGAGTATTCGCTCTCAGTCAGTCACTCAAGCTACCTTCAGCCAGACAGTCTTCTAAGTCATTCTTTTTACTAAGAATCTGTTGATCATTCTACTCTTTCAATGTGGCCGCTTCCGTTCATTTTTGTATCATCCGGGAAGCGTTTATTTTCATTCTCAGCCGGAAGAACACCTGTCAGTCTTCTCTCATTCAGACAGCTCTTCGGTCTTTTGTCAACTAGATAGCCATCTATCATTCTTTTCTTAGCCAGAAAGCTTTACTGTCACCTGTCCATCACTACTGAGAGACCTGTCTCTTGTACTTGCCTGTCTCAGTCCGTGGCTGTACTGAGACGGCCACTCTCGCCAGCATTAATTTTAAAAAGCAGATAAGTAGATAAATACGATACTTGTGCAGGTCTTTGGTATACTTAGTTATAGAAACATTTCGCCAGTCAGTGGTTTTATCAGTCCAATACAGAGAAAATAGAAGGAAGATTCTTCCAGCATAGTTTTATAAGCCCCTTTCCTGTGTATATGTCGAACTTTTATGAAGGTTGAGGGACTGATCATCTCAAACTTTCTCTTCATATCTTCTATCGTTTTAGTTTGTATTGGACTGATAAAGCCACTGATTGGCGAAATGTTTCCACAGTAAAGATATCCAGGTGTTGTACAAGTGTCTCATTCATGCACTAGTACTTTGTTTCCTGTCTAGATCATATTCTCTAACATATTTCTAACAAAAGACATGTCAACGTCTTGTCCATAATCACAACACTGTCCGCCTGGGACAGATGGTCGCCTGGAGTCGAACCTTTCATATAAGTCACCTTGGAGGAAGTGAAGAACGATCCCTCATCTTCCCTTGACGTCTTGGTCATTAAAGTTGATGGGATCATTAAGTTCAAGGTCTATATAAAGCCACCTTAACAAGGATGATTTAGTACATCATTGCTCTACCACGTCGTGAAAACCAAAGGAGGCGTGATCATGGGCCTCCGTCTCCGTGTACTGAGGAGAAGCACTGAGAAATTTCTTCATGAAAAGCAAAGACAGACATAAGATGCTATTTCATCCCTGAAGTTCCAGCTTCATCACATTCATTCCTGTAAGTTAGGTAAGTTTGTCAGGAAACAGTAGAAGAATTTCCTGACGCGGGTCTTAGTCATATGATGACCCGCAGTTCGATATTTTGGTCATCTGACCAAGGCTTTTCTCTGACTTATCGGTCCACCCCTTTAAAAAAAATATATGGTTTTGATTATAACCATTTCTTTTCCATTCCTGTAAACACAAAGTTCTTCACATATCCAACACTCCTAAGAGTTATAACTGGCATGGACTGGCGGCTGGTTGTCTCCAGGGAATTTACTGCACTCACAGTTTCCATCTACTCTAGAGCGAAAATTAGCATATTGCAGTTCCCACCACAAAAACCATTAGTTTCCAGAGCTTCAAACTCCCACAAAGCCACAGTGGAAGTTGACAACACTGCATGTGGATATTGAAACAAATTCTTTATTGGCGATGGTTGCAAAGTTGCAGTCAAGCCCTCCAGAAAAATAGTTACATGAAGCCGACACCCACACCTGTAAAGTTCATCATGCCCTGCCTTCCTGCCTCATGAACTGGAGTAATGGCACAAAATTGATATATGAAAACGACAGCGCAACACGAAGCTGTCTTGAGGCCGCCACTGTCCACCTCACTCAAACCATAGAACCAAACAGAGGAACGCCTAAAAGATCAAAGCCCATTACAGACAATGACTAGGATCAGAACACAGAGAGCCAGGTCCAATCCTCTGACCTGACTTTCATCTCCACCGCCTGACCTGACTTCAAGATGTATGTGTATACGGCGTGGTTTTGCGTATTACTGTGAACTTAATGAAGTCCTCACTGTCGGGGAACCATCGTATAATAAGTTTTTTTTTTTGTGTTAAAAATGACCTCGAAACTACTACTTGTCTGAATTTACCATTATTAACCTGCTTCTCTAACACCTAACTGCCTTTAACACTTATCTTAATACCTGTCTAATACCTGTCATCCGTTTCAGGTCACTGCCTCTAACACCTGATCTTAACACCTAACATAAGAACATAAGAAAGGAGGAACACTGCAGCATGCCTGTTGGCCCATACTAGGCAGGTCCTTTACAATCCATCCCGCTAACAAAACAGACTAACACCTGTCCTCTGTTTCAACACGCTTCCTCTAACACCCATCTTAACTGCTTGTCCAACAATGTCTAACACCTGTCCTCTGTTTCAACACGCTTCCTCTAACACCCATCTTAACTGCTTGTCCAACAATGTCTAACACCTGTCCTCTGTTTCAGGTCACTGCCCAAGCTCAGTAGCCAAGATGATGACGGTCCTAACACGCAGAGTAACTACACTGGGACAGGAAACTTCGAACCCATTCCTCACGACCACGACTTCTGCGAGAGGGTTGTTATAAATGTAAGTTGACACTGCTGTTACTTCTGCTGCTCCTGCTGCTTCTGCTGCTCCTGCTGCTCCTGCTGCTTCTGCTGCTCCTGCTGCTTCTGCTGGTGCTAATGCTATTGCTGTGTTGTTTTGTGTGTCATTTACCTCCTCTCTGTCTTCTTCATTTCCTCCATCCTCTTGTCTTTCACCTCTTTTCTCCTTCTAGTTCTTTTTTCTTAATCTTTCTTTTCTAGCTCCTCCTCCTCCTCCTCCTCTTTCTTCTTTTAACCCAATTCCTCCAACTTCCTAATCCTCCATTACTACCAACACTGGCACCTACCACTAACACAATTACCACCACACACATCACCAGCACCAGTCACAACCTCCACTACCACCACTACCTGCCACCTCACTACCACCACTATCAGCCACCTCTCATACCAGCCACCTCACTACCACCACTATCAGCCACCTCTCTACCAGCCACCTCCACTACCACCACCACTACAGCCACCTCACTACCAGCCACCTCCACTACCACCACCACTACCCGCCACCTCCACTACCACCACCACTACCAGCCACTCCACTACCACCACACTACCAGCCACCTCCACTACCAGCCACCTCCACTACCACCACCACTACCTGCCACCATCACCACCATCACACCACACCACTACCTGCCACCATCACCACCACCACTACCAGCCACCTCCACTACCACCACCACTACCAGCCACCTCCATACCAGCCACCTCCATACCAGCCACCTCCACTACCACCACCACTACTGCCACATCACCACCACCACCATCACCACCACCACCACTACCTGCCACCATCACCACCACCATCACTACCTGCCACCATCACCACCACCACCACTACCTGCCACCATCACCACCACCACCACTACCTGCCACCATCACCACCACCACCACTACCTGCCACCATCACCACACCACACTACCTGCCACCATCACCACCACCACCACTACCTGCCACCATCACCACCACCACCACCACCACCACCACCACCACCACCACCACCACTCTCTCATAAGCCGTCTTGAGTACCTAGCCTTCACATAAGATTCTTATTATAGGTGTGGTGAACGTGCTGAAGTGGCGACCACTGTAACTACATCACTGTAAATACACCACTGTTGCTAAACCACTGTACCTTCATCACTGTACCTACATCACTGTAACTACATCACTGTATCTACCGCACTGTACCTACATCACTGTAACTACATCGCTGTATCTACCGCACTGTACCTACATCACTGTAACCACATCACTGTAACTACATCACTGTAAATACACCACTGTGTGTACACCACTGTACCTTCATCACTGTACCTACATCACTGCAACTACATCACTGTAACTGCATCACTGTAACTACATCACTGTAAATACACCACTGTTGCTACACCACTGTAGCGAGGCCAGTGTATGCCACTGTGATTACACACTGACGAAATTACTGTGACAAGAACCACTGTAACTCCACCACTGTAACCCCACCACTGTAACCCCACCACTGCAACCCCACCACTGTGACCCCACTACTGTAACCCCACCGTTGTAACCCCACCGCTGTAACCTCAATACTGTAACCCCACTACTGTAACCCCACCGCTGTAACCTCACTACTGTAACCCCACCACTGTAAATCCACCACTGCAACCGAACCACTGTAACCCCACCACTGTAGCCCCACCACTGTAACCTCATTACTGTAACCCCACCACTGTAACCCCACTACTGTAGCCCCACTACTTTAACCTCACCACTGTAAGCCCACTAATGTAACCCCACCACTGTAACCCCACCACTGTAACCCCACCACTGTAACCCCACCACTGTAGCCCCACCAGTGTAACCTCATTACTGTAACCCCACCACTGTAACCCCACTACTGTAGCCCCACTACTTTAACCTCACCACTGTAACCCCACCACTGTAACCCCACCACTGTAACTCCACCACTGTAACCCTGCAGCTCCTACTTCACAGACTTCCCTCCTTGATGTCCAGGGAGACAAGGGGAAACAAGAATGTACCTGTGTACATGTTGTTTACTCGGTACAAGTACCGAGTAAACAATGATGTCATTATACACAAATAACCCGCACATAAAAGAGAGAAGCTTACGACGACGTTTCGGTCCGACTTGGACCATTGACAAAGTCACAGTGTGACTTTGTCAATGGTCCAAGTCGGACCGAAACGTCGTCGTAAGCTTCTCTCTTTTATGTGCGGGTTATTTATGTATCGTTCCAGTCACGGTATTGTGCCTTTTTGTTATTTAATGATGTCATTTACTAGTAACACAAGTTAATGGTCCGAGTTGGACCGAAACGTCGTCATAAGTTTCGTTCTCCTGTGTGCTGGTTATTTGTGTATTGTTCCAGTCACGGCACTGTGACTGCATTCTTCGCTGAACCACCTTGTGCTGTATGTTACCCGTTAAAATTTGGTTTCTCTTGTCCTCCATGCTCTTTCTTTATCTTCTCTCTCTCATCTCTCTCTCTCTCTTCTCTACTCTCTTTCTCTCATCTCTACCTCTTCTCTTTCTCTCTTCCTCTCTCTCTCTCTCTCTCTCTCTCTCTCTCTCTCTCTCTCTCTCTCTCTCTCTCTCTCTCTTTCTCTCTCTCTCTCTCTCTCTCTCTCTGTATATAGTATATATATATATATATATATATATATATATATATATTATATATATATATATATATGCAGAAAGATCAATTTAAACAGGCGATATCAGAATATGCAAAACAATCACTGTGAAAGAATAGTGAAATTCCAAGCGCTTTCGTATCTTCTCACATTATTAAGGAACTCTAAAAACAATACATCAAAGGAAGATAAAATAAAGGGTCAAGACAACACCTCATCATCACATCCCACAACAAAGCAACACCTAACGTGTGTGTGTACTCACCTAATTGTACTCACCTAATTGTGGTTGCAGGGGTCGAGACTCAGCTCCTGGCCCAGCCTCTTCACTGATCGCTACTAGGTCCTCTCCATCTCTGCTTCCTGAGCTTTGTCATACCTCTTCTTAAAACTATGTATGGTTCCTGCCTCCACTACTTCACTTACCTGGAGGTTACCTGGAGGTTATTCCGGGGATCAACGCCCCCGCGGCCCGGTCCATGACCAGGCCTCCCGATGGATCAGGGCCTGATCAACTAGGCTGTTACTGCTGGCCGCACGCAGTCCGACGTACGAGCCACAGCCCGGCTGATCCGGCACTGACTTTAGGTATCTGTCCAGCTCTCTCTTGAAGGCAGCCAGGCTATTCCACTTCCTGACGACTCTATGACTGAAGAAATACTTCCTAACGTCCCTGTGACTCGTCTGAGTCTTCAGCTTCCAATTGTGACCCCTTGCTTCTGTGTCCCCTCTCTGGAACATCCTATCTCTGTCCACCTTGTCTATTCCCCGCAGTATCTTGTATGTCGTTATCATGTCTTCCCTGACCCTTCTGTCCTCCAGTGTCGTCAATCCGATTTCCCTCAACCTTTCCTCGTACATTTCCCTGAGCTCTGGAACTAGCCTTGTTGCAAACCTTTGTACTTTCTCTAACTTCTTGACGTGTGTGTGTGTGTGTGTGTGTGTGTGTGTGTGTGTGTGTGTGTGTGTGTGTGTGTGTGTGTGTGTGTGTGTGTGTGTGTGTGTGTGTGTGTGTAGTCTTTCCACCTACCCTTTTTTTCTATTATAGCTAAATGACAAAGAAAACGGGGCGTAGCGAAAGATCTTTACAGCAGAAACTATGGGAATCCACAGATTCAAATACCGTGACCACAACAATTCACAAATAACAGGCACTTAGGATACTTAAGCCGACGTTTCGGTGTTGACAATGGTCCAGGACGGACCGAAACATCGTCATAAAATTCCTCTCTTAAATGTGTGTTATTTGTGATAGATACGAGGAGTAATTTTAGTGAGCTTGTAGCGCCGCTGTGTAAACTTTGGTCACCTAATTGTGTTAAGTCTTTCTCGGTTCGTTGATGGTGGTGATTGTAGCTCCCGAGATGGTTCACTCACCCATGAACCACTGGGTGGTGGTGATTTTGTAACTCCTGAGATGGTTCACTCACCCATGAACCACTGGGTGATGGTGATATGTAACTCCTGAGATGGTTCACTCACCCATGAACCACTGGGTGGTGGTGATATGTAGCTCCTGAGATGGTTCAGTCACCCGTGAACCACCGTGTGCGTGTGAGGTGTCAGAAGTGCCTGGACTTGTGTGGTGTTAGGGAAAATACCGGGATTTATGTGGTGTTAGAGGAAGTACCGGGATTTATGTAGTGTTAGGGGAAGTACCGGGATTTATGTAGTGTTAGGGGAAGTACCGGGATTTATATGGTGTTAGCAGAAGTACCGGGATTTATGTGGTGTTACATAGACAGCTAGAATATGTGTCGTGTTCTAGGGACCACCAGGATTTGTATCATGTAACACGCATACTCTATCTTACTGTTGTATTTTAGGTCAATCAAGACACAGGCTACAAAGACTATTTCTTGCAACTGACTCTTAAACAGGCAGCACAGGTGACAGTGTGTATCTTTGGTGCTTCTGTTTACAAAGGTATGTACAGTGGGTTTGTTGACATGCTTTTACAAGGCGTATGTGGGAGCGATCGTCAGTAATTACCTTATCAAATTAACTATTACATTAAATTCTTTATATCAATGTATATGAAGCGATATTGGATTATATAAATTATAGCTAAGAGTTATATACTTAGTGTAGTTATGGAGTAATTTTAAAGGAGGATTGAATTCTGATTAGTGGTAATTGGACCTCTGATCACGTGAACTGTGTTTGACCAGCTGGTGATCTCCGTTTGACCAGCTGGTGATCTCCGTTTGACCAGCTGGTGATCTCCGTTTGGCTAGCTGGTGACTTCTGGTTGTTGAGTCATTCTGCATCAAAACCTTGAGTGAAGGCGTACATGTACTCTGACCTTAAGTAAAGGCGCACATGTACTCTGACCT